CACCACACACATCGGCGATTTTCAAGAGCACTGAGACCGAGGTCGGTACCAACACTGACAAAGGAAAGGGCCGGGAGATTGGGCCGCCAGCCAGTGAGATGGAGTGGATCGTGCCCGAGTTAGCAATGCGGCCAGGTAAAAAATTCATGAAACTCGTTATTCTTTGCTGACTTCGTTTATAGAATTGGGCTTGGCTGTCAATTATATGCAACAAAGCTTTACACCCCCACCTGTTGAGCGCACGTCCCGGCCAGAAGGTTCGCGTTCGGTATCCCGTTCTCGGCAGGTCAGCCCACCAGATCCCAAGGAGGTTCATCGTACGTCTCAAGTTGTTTTCTCATTTCCCATGATTCTCAACTTGAAAACTTAGTTGACACGGCGCTCTATCAGAAGAAGATTGACTTTAGGTCCTTGAGCCCCCCACCGAACTTCGACATGCAGACGATGCAGCAGGAGATCAGAAGACTTGCTCATGGCCAAGCCGACCTCCTGCAGAAACTCCGAGACCAACAAGCGCAAGTCAGCGTCATGGAGTCGTCTACCCCTACTATGCGAGAGTATTCGGCATTTGTGGTCCGAAAACAAGATATTGACGCAAGTGCCCTTCTCCCCCCGGCAGTTGACTCACCCGTGACCCTGTCACAACGTCTTTTGGCGCTCGAAGAGATTACCCGGTGTATTCAAGATCAAGATTTGGCTAGCCGTCCTCTGTCGGAGAAAATTGCAAGTCTAGAGACCTCCGTTTGGTTTCAGGAAGAAAAAATCACCGGAGCGACTCGCCGGATGGACCGTATTGAAGAGTCTGCCCACATGCGTTGGAAGGAAACACAAGAAGATTTGCAGTCCATCCGAAGTGATCACCAGAGACTGGAAGCCGAGGTGAGGGAAGCCGTCAAGACACTGGAGAACAAGTGGGAGACTACGCCAGCTGCGTTACAAGAGAGTCTCACCCGGGGCTTTGAGAAACTTGCAAGCCGCATCGAAACTGCCGAGCTAACGCTCCACGACCTCACCAAATCCGTCACTACTATTTCGGAGCTCAACCTGCGGCTCGGTGCTCGCCAATCAAGTCTGGAATCGCTCATTATCCAGTTCCTCGGCAACAAGGAGAAGAAGCACACTGGCATCAATACCGATCGCTCAGTCTCACCCGACCGCGGTCAGAAAAGCCAGCAGGTACAAGTCTCCCCGACCCCGGGTGTCGTTCTGCCAAACCCAGTTTCAACCGATCACGCGCAAGTCTCTCCAACCCCGGCCGTCTTTCTGCCTCCAGCATCTGAGAGCCCAGCGGTCCTTCTGTTGGCGCCAAACCCAATTCCTCCAACCCGGGCAAGTTCGCCCGGTCCTTACATTGGGGGTAATAGGAAGTCACCTCGG